ACTATTCAGGTTGCTCAGAGCGAATGAGACCAAATTTTCAACCATTAAAAAAAAAAAAAACCTTCCAGGAATTCTCTCAAATTTTGGGATTGCAAAAACCTCAGAGGCCAAAACGTATTCCACTTTAGTTTCTACGATACACGGCGTGAAAGAACTAGCTCAGACTTTATTCATGATGAAGATTGTATGCCCTTATCCGGATCGTAACCAGAACAGAAAGTATGGTGGCGGCGGCGGCGGCGGAGGGAGGTTGGCGGTTCAGAGGTGGGGCATATTGTCTTTTGAGAGAAAACGACACACGAAGGAGGCGTGGGATAATTTTTGAGAGATGCTAGGTATGATCCGTCGTTATGTCTCTAACCACACTCCTAGCACTATTACCGATCGCGATATACATGAGGTCATCACAACCATATTTTTCGAAGATATTAATTAAAATTTAACCACCAAATTGCCGCTTTTCAGCCCTCGAATTAGATGGGACTGAAAAGTTGAAAACGCGCCAATGCAAACAAACTGACAATCAGTGTTATAATCACCACGATTTTGCGCTTATGCATCTATAATGTAATGATTATGAGCTCTGATTATATTCCTTTGAATGATGAAATGAGAAAATGAAGAAGAAAGGGAATAAAAATACATGAATAATAAACAAGTAGTTTTAACACAAACAAATTGAGGAGCGTGCCCATATCAAGGGCTATATACTAGCTGAGAGTACAATAATTTTAAAACTGAACAGAAAAAGAATACATATTTTGTTAGTTTCGAAGGCGTCGAAATCGCATTTTAGGCCACTCCCGTCATCTTGGATTTTGAAATTTGGAAAACTTGACTGCAAATTTGAGTTTCTCGTAAAAAAATACCCTTTGATACCGAATTCCACGAAAGTCAATCGAATAGGAGCCGAGATAGCATTTCGGGTCACGTCCGCCATTTTATGGCATTTGAAAGTTTGAAAATTTTAGTTGAAATTCAAATTCTCGTCAAAGAGTGCCCTATGGTACTGAAATTCACAAAACTCGATCAAACAGGGACCGCAGACCGTAGGATCTGTAGGACCTTGTAATGCGTACTGTACAGCGGTAATCGATACGGGTCAATTTACGTACGCTAGTGCGCCTAAAATTTCGTCTGATACTGTGCAATACTTTTCTGGCGGAATAGTTGCTGGGAGCCCCTTCAAAAGCCTTGACTCTACTTGATAGCAGAGGATCAAAATTTGATTTAATCCGCAAAGTACTTAATATTTTGCACAATCTAGCACCCTTTAAGGCTCGTTTTCCTCTGCATAGTTTCGGTGCAGTTAAGAACTGTATTGCGAACACCTCTAAAGCAATGCCTATGACTGTTCATTGTAGTGGGTAGTCCTTGAACTTCCCGATTAGACTCGTTTTGAAATCTACTCAGTTAACAGTGTAGAGAGAGTACACATACGTAAGCAACATTCCTCGAGTGGGACATTTTATTTGTGCTTATTGCTCCCAACAAAGAAAGGAATTTTATGAATCGCAAAAAGTTCATTCGGGCGTCTACGTATACGTAACTGAAGTTGGTTTTTGCAGGTCTATTTCAAGCTCTAGTTATTCATAGCAGTAAATTTCGTTTGACTGTCGTTCTGCATAGCTTTGAGATTGCGGAATGCAGTGCAGAATGCGGCTTCTTTGATGTTGAACTAAGGGAGCTCATCCAGACAAGGGTTTAATTCAAAGACATTGAATCATGTAGACCGTGCATCCTGTGTTACGGAAGGCGAAGCAACTTTTAAAAATTCGCATGTGATGAGTGGTGGCACCGACCCGCATCGATGAGTTCGTGTGTCCCAGTTGCGCACATCTGCGCATGCGCAGTAGCGGCTCCTGGCGGCTCCAGTGAATTTTTGTCGGATTGTGAAGCTTTTTCCCTCGGTTAATAATTAGTTCGGAAAAATGAAACAATGCTAATCGGGTGGAAAATTATGTGTTCCATAACTTTTCTTCTTAGGAATTTTGTCTGAAAATAGACTCTAAACAAGATATTCGTGAAAAATCGAGCGCGGGCATGAATTCTCCATTGCCTCTTCGAGTGCTTGAGACACACACTCTCTCTCTTTCCCCGCCCGCCCATCATGGGGCTCCGAAAGACTTGCCTCGCTCCGCCAGTACTAAACCGAGCCGAACGCACGGTCTACGTGATTCAATGTCTTTGGTTTAATTTCAATTTAGAGATTGCTTAAACATGCATCACGGTTCATTACTTAAGGTATTTTCTTCTGCCTTACAAGTCTTTTGTAAAATTGAGACTTTTTCACGGTTGACCCATGTCTTTAAATTTTGTTGTAGGTTCCGTTTTAAAAAAATTCGAGACCTATGAGATAATAATATCGATATGCTTCGTCTGATGGCAATGAAGGGGCAATTTTAAATAATTAATTTTCGTTTATTTATTTTCAATTAGAAAGTATATATTACTTTAGAGCCAAGAAAAAACTCTAAAAAAAGTTAAGGAAAACACTGTGGTATGTTACGTTATAGATATCTCGGTGCAACCCCACCTTAGTATTCTAATGCATTTGCCTGAGTTGAGCAGTGGAAACCCCCACCCTCTGTCATTTACTGATACTCATTAAAGCTCAATTTCTAACTCTAATCGAACATTTTCAAACTTTTTGGCCTTGCTTTTCCCGCAAAATAGAGTAAACCCAGCAATATTTTACCACCATGATTTCCAGGAATCATTTTTTAATCTCTAAATGTACATTTATTGCGTAAAATAACCATGTTAATGAATCGTATTTTATCATTTTTTTATTAATGATAAAGTTTAAAAGTTTTTAAATGAAATTTACGTAACAGTTTGACTTTGAAATGAATACATTTACGTTAACGCACATGCACTTTACAACGCATGTAATTTTTGTTAATGAGATAAAAACATTGAAATACGCTACTACTGGGGCACTAGTCAAAAGTTATCAAAATTATTTTGAATATACAAATTCGTGAAAATGTAACTAAGCGACATGTAAATGCAAAGGATGTCCAGTTCTAGTGTTATGAAACTAGTTTACATTGCGAAACCCTTTCTGTTGGTGGCATTATTCATTCTGTAGGCTTCAAATGTCGCTTTCTAGTTTATTCGGAAGCACGTGTGTGTGAGAGAGTAAGTATCGATATTGTAGAAGGGGGCAAAAGGACACGTCATGTGATAAGGGGGGTTTAAATTGAGCTCGGCGCAGGGAATGGTATTACTGAGAGAATGATGGACGATTTGAAAGCGATTTAATCAAATGCAGGCAACTCATCATTCGTATCAATGGTATTGGAGTTTGAGGTTGCCGCTGTAGGCTCATTGTTACCGTGGCGATTTTCTCAGTGAAAAACTTTCAGCGAATTGTTGGTAGAGAAGATATTCGGTGATTTAAAAATTTACCCATCTATGCGACCCTCGTGGGGCTTTCCCCACAAGGCGGGGGTTTCCCCCCAGAACCGTTATGATCGTACGGTGTCGCTCAATATCAGTAAACCCCCATGAATAGTAAATGGGCCCCCAACTTCTACACAATTTTTCTAGCTCCACTTCTGGAAGCAACGATTCTTTTTCCTCAGTTTTCATTAAGAGAAAAAGTTCGGCCGTATGAACCGTAAGTGTCGTTTTCGACATGGCTGTACTGGTTGGTTCATGTACCGCATTCTCACGATTCCAAGGTACTGTAACTGCGTACTCTCAAAACGAAACGAACTACAGAAAACCATAATTGCATAAACCGAGAGTATGGTTACGTGAACCGAATGCACTGATAGGAATAAATGTGTTCTTGTGTTACTTTTGGTTGATATAGTTTAAGAAACACAATCTAACACAAATTTAGTGTTGAGTTTGGTACGGTTTGCGGTGAATTTAGCGCAGAAAAAAATGGGGAGACTGGAAAAATGCATTCCTCCGATTGCGACTGATTTGCGATGACAAAATTTCAGAACTTTATGAGAGATATTGTAAATACCGGTTCCTTTTCATGTTTCGAAAAATGTAAAAATTGTAACTTTCTTCTATTATTGTGTGTTTGAGTACGGGTTGCATACTCTAGCCCCTGAAATTTACGAAAAATTGCACAGCCTCGTAGAAATCCATAAAATATTTCACTGAAATTTCAAATCTTCCATGTCTTTTTGACGTTTCATGCCACCCAGCGGACTGATTATTAAAATTCATAGACGATGCGATAAACAAAGAAGACACAGGGAGTATAGAGGGATCCTTTTAGTTGAAACAGCTGTTTCCTTTGGACTAAGGAAGAAAATTTTGGACTAACCATCGGGTCTCTCGTGGGTTGCCGTTAGTTAGTCATTTACCTACCTCTTTTGTCCGTTGCGACCACCCGCTTCCGCCAATAGGATACCTCTATATCTTTTTTGTCTTCTTTGTCTATCGATTTCAATAATCAGCCCGCAGCGAGCTGATTATTGAATCGATCGACTAAGTTGTTGACAAAGAAGACAAAAGGGGTATGGAGGATCCTATTAATTCGTGGATGCGGGTGGTTGCAATGGACAAAATAGGTATAGGTAAAATACTAAGTGACGGCAACCGACGAAATAACCCGATAGTTAGTCCAAAATTCCCTTCCTTAGTCTAAAGGAAACAGCTGTTTCAACCAATAGGCTCGCTCTATACTCCCTATGTCCTCTTTATCTATCGCTTTGTCTATAAATTTCAATAATCAGCCCGCTGGGTGGTATGAAATCGTAAGAAAGACATGAAAGATTTGAAATTTCAGTGAAATATTTTATGAAATTCCACGAGACTGTGCAATTTTTCACAAATTTCAGGGGCTGGAATATGCAACCCATACTCAAACACGCAAAAATAGAAGAAAGTCGCAATTTTCAAATTTTTCGAAACATGAAAAGGAACTGGTATATTTCAATATCTTTCATATTGAATTCCGGATACTTTTGAAAACGCCTTGGTTTTGTGTTGCTAGCGAGGGAAGTGGATTGAGAATGAGGGGTGCTTACCTGGGGGGTAGTCTATGTAATTGACAGTGGTGAAGGCTGCGAAGGGGGAGGCGCCGAGGAGGGCCAGGACCCAGAGGACGGCGATGATGCGAACGGCCCGCCGGAGCCCGGCCATGGCATACGAATGCAGCGGATGACAAATGGCCAGATACCGCTCCATCGAGAACGCCAGGATTGTCAGGCAGCTGAGATATGAGGCCCTGCAACACGCAAATCACGCCTGTTTAGCGGCTCACATCCTCGAGCCCCCTGTAAAACCGAGCCCCATATCCATTCTAACGCCCCAAGTTCCCGGCTTGAGGGAGCCGACGCACACAGGGTTCCCACAGAATTTAGAAAATGAAATTCCCTGACATTTCCCTGATTTTCCTCACACGTTTTGGTGAAATTCCCTGGCAATTGAAGAAGTGACGGATGGTTAAGAGGGCATAATTGAAAATAGTTTTCAGGCATTTCTTGTTCAAAATCTCAAACCCATCCCAGAAAGCAAATGAAGGTGATTCAACAAATTTTCCCTGACATTTTCCGGGTTTCCCTAACTGCGGCAACCCTGCACAGTAGATTGAGTCAATTAGAGAGATAAGACATGATATTTTTGACTAAAACTGCAAATTTTTATGTTTACTTCGTCACATTAAATTTTAAGAGGTGTTACTGAGGGAAAAGTTCACGAGGAAACCAATGCAACCACTTTTGGAACCTTAAAGATCTGTATAAATGGAGTTATAAGCGTTTAAAGTTTCCAGATTTTGTCCAACCTCTCCTATTGACTCGACCCACTGTGCGGCGTTCGAATAGTTACCGTCGTAGATACAGCTCCAGTATTTCGTAGCTCCTCTGACGTAAATGCGTGTCTCTGTCTCCACATGAGCCATGGAAAGGATGGAGTTATACGAAGGACAGGACTCACGTGGAAATCGAGCTGAAGTCTAAGGAGGCCAGGTATTAAGAATGGCACTATCCTACTAGGGATAAACGCCGTCTGACACTTCAGACGTTGCCAAATTTCCTTTGACTGATCACAATTTTTTGGAAAATTTTTTGAATGTTCCTCCTCCGATATTGTAGAGGATTTTGTTTATAATTTGATCTGAATGGTCAGAAAATTTTAAAGAGAAAGTATTCATAACTTTCTTTGAAACCGAAGATTTTCCTTCTCCTTTAAATAAACCTCCTAACAGCTGGTAAAAAAGTATATTGGCTCCACATTGGAAAAAAAGTCTCTTGAATTTAGTATTCAGTCTCAAAAAATTTGAAAAGAAAAAATTCTCTTGATTCAATCGTGCTGTTTCTTCAATCGAGAGCCAAGTGTCTTAATTTAAGCAATTTCCCTCTGATTCAAGCAAGAATTCGATTGAATCATGAGTAATTTCTCCTGTCAATTTTTTAAGAGTCTAGACTCTCGATTCAAGAGACTTTTTTCCAGTGCGCTCTGGTTGTTTGAGAACAAAAAAGGTTTTGCAGTTACACTCCGAATTTCACACCTAGATTTTTCACAGTGCATATTGAAAACACAATATGGGAAATTCGGGTTTGCAAAAGTGCTCCTAAACGACGCAAACCAGTCATTGTTCAACTTCCTCAGGATTTTTACCGCTCTAATTACATTATTGCATGATTTGCGTTCGGTGGAAGTTTACGTGATGATACCACACTCGAGCGAAAATAAAAGAGGAAATTCATGCAGAGGGTTTTTCGTTGAATCGCAGCGTTCGACCTAAATATATACTTTCCTTCGAGGCATTTTAAATTCTATCCAGAGAGTTCTCTCATCTACTTGGTCGTTAGAAAAAATAATGCCGGCTCATTTCGCACGCGCCTTCACTTCTCGGACCCTCACGCTTCGAAAATGAGGGCTGTAAAAAAGTTAATCGTAGCCCATATCATTGAGTTCAACAAACCCCAAGGAAACCCAACTCTACGGTTTGCGAAGTACCAGCTGAGACCCACAATTGTCTGGCGCAGGGTTGCCAAATAAGATGAGGCACATACGCTTTACCTCTGAACGAATCTTTATTACTCATCACCTTTTGACAACGGAGGTCTCGTGCGCGCAACCTGTTGACGAGCAATTTATCTCGGAGTAAATCTTACTTTTTCTATATTTTTACGATCCGAAGTTATTTTATCGTCTTCCTCGCTGTTCCTCTTCCGCAAGCGCTGCTTTTCTCTCATCGTATACTTTATTGTCGAGCGACCGTTTCGCAAAACATGTTTTCGAATGTGGCCGCTTTTATCCAATGAATCGTATACGCCTTCCGGAAGGAATATTCAGGGCGATAAGAGGTCAACTTTAAAAGATACTCAAATGCCGATATAAGATGATATAAATGTTATTTTGAGTGTTCAGTTCAATAGCTGTAATTTAATGAAACATGAGAGGAATAAAAAAGCTATTAATATTAGTACTTAGTTGTAAACCGGCCTTGATTTGGACTACACGTTACATTAACTGACCGAACGAGACATGTATGAACTAGGAGTGGTAGTACAGTAAGCTCTCTCTTTAACGAGAACTCAAGGGACCAGTCGTTTCTCCGCTATAGAGAGGTTCTCGTTTTAACGATGTTCGATTAGGAAAGACGGACGAACTCCGATATCACTGCCTCAATAGACAAAGGTACCTGGTACCATTCAAGGGTGCAGGGGGTTGATATATAGCGAAAATAGCGATCAGCAAATATTAAATGCAGCAGTAGTGGCACAGTTTTTAATGTATCGTGGAAGCATGTATTTTCATTATTTTGATCACCAATCTGCTCAAAATTTCACCACGAATCAAAGAATGTAAACTATAAAAGAATTTTTTGCATAATGACAAAAATTGCATTCTTAGTGCAAGGGAGTAGGAGTACGATCCTAGGATTACAGGCTTGCGGTGTGCACTGATCGGAAATGGTGCACACCGTGTTAGCAATAGGTGCAGCCGCGGCACCGAGAAATTACGGATTTTCAATGATTAGAGCGCGGACCGTAGTGACCGTGCAATGCGTGAAGTATTCTTACAGGCTTGTGGGCGCTAACATGCGGTCCTCACGTTGACCGCGCTGATTGTGATTTTGGCGCAATGCGTGCAGTATTCCTGCAGTCTTGTAGGCGCTAATATGCGTTTAGCACCAACCGCACTGCGTTTGGCGCGTTACTGTAGGGTTATAGTGTTTGATCCCTTGGTTTTTAGTTTTATTATTTATTCTGTCCCTCGTTTTTTCGAGGATTTTGCTTGTAGTTAAACTCGCGGAGTCCGCGCTTTTCAATTTGTTACTACAATTACGTTTTTTCACAGTCTTTATGGATTACTGTCATTTAAAATGATGAAGAAAAGTCTTATAAAATATAACTAATTTTCTTTTATAAAGCTGCAGTGACTTTTCGCTGGAAACTCGTGACCCTCTTGCGAAGGCAGAGAGTTAATTCGTTGCCACGGACGTTACGTCGGGAGGAAAAAACATGTTTTCACAATAAGACCGATATTTTCGCTATTGGAAGGTTCTCGTTATAACGGTAGTCACTACAGAGAGAGAGATTACTGTAGTAAATGAGCCCCTAGATTTTTAACATTATAGAGGTTTCCTCTCCAATAAAACCGGAATCGAAAAATGAATTCGAATACAAATATACACGCGTGGGATACGAAATTCTTTTTGTGAACTGCGATTCTTAGTTTTGGAAGAAACGTGGCTAGGCCCCTCACTACTAAATAAAGTTTGATGCATATAAATTGATTTTCTAGAAGTTATGCGTATAAAGTCAGATATTTTTCTTAAATTTTATTATGGGGCGTGAATATCCACATTTACATCTTAACACAGCATTGTAAACTTCAATTATAAACTTTCGTTAATCGCTTCATGCCTGTAATTTGATTTCAACTGTTGGGTGATCCTGGGGTTTTATAATAGTTTACGATGATTGGATTTCAGCCCGTATATATTCGAGCCAGCATCTATTTCATCCACACGCACAGGATCGACTTTTGCGTGTTCGGCGAACAAGCTCGCTATCACAAATCGTAAATTTATAGCCTCCCTATTTTAGTGAACAATCGGCTTTTCTTTCCCGAATTCCATTCCCTACCGGAATTTTCCTGTCAGCTATCAGATGCCGCAACCCACGCATTCTATCGCGGTAAGAAATGGAGGTGGGAGCCTATGCAATGAAACTTCGTAATCAAGTGAGCTAGTAACAAAAGAGGGAGAGGCGGAGAGGGGGAGGTGTGCGTCGTAAAATGTGCGGAGGCTGTACCTATAGGCAATGACGTCATATTTCCGCCCACGTGTATATTTGAGCGATAACTATTCCTTACGAACGGCTAAAGTAATCCTCCCCTGGATACAATATACGGAACTAGGGATGGGGGTGAGGTGTTCCTTCCTATTTAGAATTTTGTTCAGACCTAGAAAAAGCTATTTTCAGGGTAGGCTTTGCGTAGTATACCGCTCCCTTTCCTCCTCATCACAAAATCCTCAGAGGCGTGGCGTGCTTTGCGATATATCGATTGATCTGCCATTTAAATCTACGGAAGAGGATAGATTATCAACGAACACCTTGATAATCGAGTATTTACTACAGCTTCAAATGGAGAAATATCGATAATCTATCCTTCACGCCACTGAAAATCCTCATAGTTTCGTTGGTGGAGACAAACGATAGAAAATTATAGAGCTTGACATCGGTATCCTCAACGAAGCACATGAATTCAAATATTTATATTCAGGTGAATCAATACGTGTTCTCGAAGTTTTTTGTCGTAATTTGTCTTTATTTTGTGAAGTTTCTAATTTTTCATTGATCTATTTTTTTAACTAATTCATTCCGATTCCTCTAGAAGAATTTATCATGTCATGTACTTTAAAGAGAAACGTTTAAAAAAAATCAAAAAATAAGAAAAAACACCAGAGACGCGTTACAAAACCTTACAATTGTCGAATCTTCTGCCTCTCATACCAATAGGATCTGGTAGCAGGGACGATACATCTGCTCTCTCTAAATCGCGAACTTCAGAGCAACTGAAAAATTCAACTAAGAACTTCACCCACTCCACGGAGCGCTCCTAATCTCACGAGCTCCAGTAAGGAGTCTCAAGAATTAGCTCATCTTCACAAGTCTCCCATCTCCCACGCGTTCACCCTCGTGTACCCAACCCCTCCTCCTCCACCCCCTTCCCTTCACCGACGCTAACTAATCACCCACGCTTAATCTC